TATATTACCACTCTCATCAAGCTTATTCCTAAATACCCATCTAGTACCTACAGTAGATTTTTTACTAGGCCTTTCAACTAATGTCCATACTTTACTTCTCTCAAATTGATTTAATTCTTCTTGCATAGCCATAATCCAATGTTCATCTTTTAATTCTTCTTTAATATTCTTAGGCTCTATGCATGAAATAAATGCAACATAATTACAAATATTTATAAGAGAAGATCGAGTTGTTACCCCTTTGGATGGATCACCTATAATCTCACCATCCTTGACATAGTTGTACTCTCTTGGATAAGATACTTCCCTTTCTTCAATGGTTGGATTCTCAAGAGGATCATGAGTTACCTCATCTTTTGTTTCTTCCTTTGATGATGGTTCTTCAACGTCATGCCTAACTTCATTTGTATTTATAATACATACATTATCATTCACACAAGAATCCTTCCTCGGAAGGGGATTATCATCGAAAACAACATGTATAAACTCTTCTACAACTAAAGTTCTTTTATTAAATACTATATAAGCTTTAGAATTTAAGGAATAACCCAGAAAAATTCCTTCATCACTTTTAGCATCAAATTTGCCAAGGTTTTCTTTACCGTTGTTCAAAACAAAACATTTACATCCAAAAGGATGAAAATAGCTAATGTTAGGCTTTTTATTTTTGAAAATTTCATATGGAGTTTTCTTTAAAATTGGCCTAATCATTACTCGATTTATAACATAACAAGCGGTATTTGTGGCTTCCACCCAAAAATATTTTGGCAAATTATTTTCACAAAGCATGGTTCTAGTCATTTCTTATAAAGTTCATTTTTTTCTCTCAACAACTCCATTTTGTTGAGGGGTTCTAGGTGCTGAAAATTATGACTAATACCATTAGAATTACAAAACTCAGTAAATCCAAGATTTTCAAATTCAGTGCCATGATCACTCCTAACACTAGTTATAGAGTAACCTTTATCGTTTTGGATTACTTTTGAAAACGTGATGAATTTTTCTAATGCTTCATCTTTAGTGCTTAAGAATAGAACCCAAGTATATCTATAATAGTCATCTACCAAGACAAATGCATATTGTTTTCCACCCAAGCTAGTAGTCCTAGTTGGCCCAAAAAGATCTATATGGATCAATTGTAATACTCTACTAGTTAATACATCATTAATGGATTTAAAAGAAACTCGCTTTTGTTTTCCTTTAGCACAAGCATCACAGATTTTATCATTATCAAATTTAAGCTTAGGCAACCCTCGAACTAAATCACCTTGAATTAGCCGTTGCAAAACACTCATACTAGCATGTCCTAGTCTCCTATGCCATAACCAACTATCATGTTCATCCTTAGCAACTAGGCAAAAATTAGTCATATCAATAGAATCTAAATGCACCATGTATATGTTTCCTATTCTATGACCAACAAGCATAATCCGATTAGATGCAATGTCAATGACTTTACAACCGTTACTATCAAACATGACATTGAATCCCTTATCACAAAATTGACTAATACTCAATAGATTATGCTTTAATCCATTCACATATAAAACATTCTTAATTTGTATGGAAGAGGTATTACCAATAGTACCAATACCTTCAATGTGACCTTTTGAATCATCACCAAAAGTCACTTCTCCTCTATTTTTGGCATTAAGCTCAATGAACTGATTTTTATCTCCGGTCATGTGTCTTGAGCATCCACTATCAAGGTACCATGAATTTGGATTTGTTTCCCTTACCTTGTAGCAAAGCTCCTTTTCATACAAAAATAGATTAATTTCTAATTTTTGGTACCCAAATTCTTTTGGGTCCATATTCATTAGTTTCCAAAATCCTAGTCCCCTTAGGTATCCATTTGTGTAGGATATCCTTATCTTTAGTAGTAATGAGCTCTTTAGGAACCCATATACTTCTAATAATTTTTCCATTAGAGGTTCTTTGGGGACCTTTATGATTGTAGTTTTTAAAACTTTTTCTAACAAAGTTGGATTTTGAATTTTCTCAATTTTCAAAACGTTTTGTTCCAACTTTATTAAAATAAGCTTTAAGATCATCAATTTTCTTTTGATGATCATCATTGACATTTGAAAGTAAATTTTGCAAATCCAAATTTTTCTTTTCAAATTCTTCTAGTTTGATTTGCAAATCTTTGATTTTACTTTCAAGATCGTTGTTGGTTTTAGATATGAGTTTATTTTCATTTTTTAATTTTGAAACATCATTTTTATATTTTAAAAACAATTTCTCATAATCCGAAGACAACCCATTATATTCCTCTAATAGCCCATCATAGGATAAATCATCAAAATCAGATGAGTTAAAGGTTACCTTAGAATCTTCCCTGAATGCCATCAAGCACAAGTTTGCTACTTATTGTTCCTATTCATCGAAACCTTATTCATCGCTCCATATAGCCACATGAGCCTTGTGCTTATTCTTTGATTGACCCTTTCTCTTTAATTGTGGGCAATCATATTTGACATGCCCTAGCTTTTTGCATTCATAGCAAATGATCGGGTCCTTCTCATTTGGTTCATTTTTGAGGCCTTCATTTCGTTTGAATTTTCTTCCTCGGTAAGGTCTTATCATTTTTCTGAACCATTTGGCAAACAATGCCATTTCCTCGTCATCGTCATCTTCAACCGAATCACTCTTATCTTTTGTGGATTTGAGAGCAACTCCAATGTTTTTCTTCTTCTTCTTCTCCTTTGGTGTCTCTTCAATCTTATCAAGGTCCACCTCATCTTCAAGCATCATTTCATGAGTGAGGAGTGAACATATTAGCTCTTCAAGAGTTAAGGACGTTAGGTCCTTAGACTCGATGATTGTCGTCTTCTTTGATTGCCACGATTTTGGAATGGAGTAGACTAACTTCCTCACAAGCTTTTCATTTGAAATGATCTCTCCATATGATTTGAGACCATTGACAATCGTTGAAAATCTATTCATCATAGCTTTGATATCTTCATTTGGTTTCATCCTGAAATTTTCATAGCTATGCGTTAGAATACTAATTTTAGATTTCTTTACCTCATCGGTACCTTCATGAGTGACTTGAAGTTTGTCCCATATTTCTTTGGCGGTTGTACAAGATAAAACTCTTTCGTATTCATCTGGTCCAAGAGCATAAAATATGATATGGATGGCTTTGGAGTTGAGCTGGAACATTTTTGTCTCTCCTTCACTCCACAATCTTGGATGAGTGAGAGGCTTGATGTATCCTTCTTCTAAGACATTCCATGCTCCCATGTCACTTGCTTGAATGAAGTACATCATCCTATTTTTCCAATAGGCATAGTTAGCCCCATTGAAGAAAGGAGGCTTGTTGACGGACATCGAATCGAGACCGGAGTCGAAGTTTGAAGTAGAGGCCATTGATGACTTTGATTATCGATGTAACTATTCCCGAATCGATTCAAGAGGCGATTAAACCTTCAAATGAGTTAGGTTCTGATACCAATTATTGAGTTAATCGATTGACGAATATGGCCAAGAGGGGGGTGAATTGGCAATTAAAATTTTGGTGGAAGCTTTTGCAGAAAATTGAAAGAAATTTGCACAACGATTTAGAGTGGTTCGACTTTCTCAACCAAAGTCTACGTCCACTACCTTAGCTATCCACACTAAGGATTTTTCACAAATTCACTAATTTGTCTTTCTTTTGAGAAAAAAGAGTAACCTTACAAACCCTCAAGAATTATACCCCAAATTCTTGAGAACACTCTCTCCCAAAGAGAACAATACAAATTTGCAAACTTACAAATAAATCCTCACAAGGTAGATTGTTTGCACAATTCTAGAACAAAGAAAATAATACTCAAGAATGAATACAATTGAGCACAATAAGTGTTCTTGAAAGCAAAATGAATATTGAATGAAAAATAGGCTTGAAATGCTCAAACTTGAGGTTTGATACTTTCTCTTTGATTCTCTCTTGATTCTAGTTACTTGATGTTTCTTGTTATTGATCAATGGCTTCTAAGCTTGCTTAAATACACCTTGAATCACTTCTGAACGTTGGAGATCATTAATGAAGTTTTTGGATCCGTTTAAGTGTGAAAACAATTAATATTTCTGCTTGGAGCGTGGGGGGAATCGGTACCCCTAATGGGGAATCGGTTCCCTAAGTATAAAATTCAAATATTTCGACCGTTGAATAGTGGGGGGAATCGGTACCCCTTGGGGGGAGGAATCAGTTCCCTTTGAGCAATCTGGAATTTTTGTCTTTGAAATGGTTCGAAATATTTTGTAAAATCGTTGACATTATTTTAAGATTAAAACTTAATTTTACACTTGAGTAAGGATTTAAAATGAACTTTGAAATACTTTGAGTAATATTTTGATATTTGATTTAATATATCGAATATGCTTAGAAAAATTATTTTCAAAATTAAAATTCTTTTAATTTATTATATCAAAACATCAAAATGTTTTCAACATATATATATATATATATATATATATATATATATATATATATCATTAATCTCATATGGAGACAATACAAATATTCCTACATGTAATGAATAGGAAAAGAGAATCAAACTTTGTGAAATATACAAATGAAAATAATAAACTAAAACTACAAAAAAGTTAAAAGTTAACAAAAGTCCGATGAAAATCTGTCCGAGGAACTAAAAAAGTGAAGGTACATTCAATTGGGGTCAGATCTCCATCAACTTTAGAACAAACCAAACCAGAACAACTAATGGTCTCAGCTGCCATTATTCTTATCCTTTTTATAGTACTAAAATAGTCTTGTTTTAATTCTAGTCTGGTCCCAACCCTCATTTCATCATCATTATCTTCTTTAAACACACTATCCAACCTACAACACTAGCCGTGCAGGTTACACTACGTACAGCCACTTTCAATGTAATAAGAACTCCTTATCTGTCATCTTTTACCTTGGAAATCCAATTAAAAACTCCAAAAAAAATGAATCCCAAGTCCCATAATGAAAGATTTTGTATTTCAGAAACGATATTAGCTTGATTTTTTTAGATTACAAAGATCCCAAGAAACGAAAGACAGTAGCTTTTTGCTTGTGAAAAAGTCGATTATCAGGCCTAGGGTCTATAGGAAAAGATGCAAAATAGTAGAACTGTTATTAATGTATCTACCGAGATTAACTGCCGAGCCCCATGAATGCCATAGCTTGGGAATCCCGATGAAGCTATGAAATGGGAATTGTCGTTGTTCAAGTTCCCATCTTCCCCCAACTTGGCCGTGGAATTTGGCTCGAGCAAAGTGGCACCTTTTTGACATGGTTTTACTCCATAAGGAGCATTAGTTGTCGGTGTCATTGACTCGACCGGATAGCAGAGATTCGGGTTGTTCCAAGCCCCGAAACGTTTTCCCATTTTCCCATAAAAGACACGGGGGAATTGGAGCACTCCTGTCAGATTGTTCCCGTTTAGATAAAGTGCATTAAGATCAGGCAAAGATGCAAGCTTCGGTGGGAGATTGCCTGTGAGGTTATTACCAAGACCAAGATACCTCAGTCTCTTCAATCCAGATAGTGATTTGGGTATTTCACCTATCAAGCCTGTGTTAGTGAGATCCAAAACGACAAGATTTTGCAAATTTTGCCATTCCAGGCTCATAATGTCCCCACCGAGTGGGTTGCAAGACAACATCAACTCTTCCAAAGAAAGCATGTCCAGAACACGATGGCTCAGTCCACCTGAAAACTTGTTGTGTCTCAAGTCCAAAAGGGTCAAATTCTTCAGACATGCAATATGTGCAATTAGCCTCCCTTTCAATCGGTTGTTACTCAAATCAAGCTTCAACAGAGATGTCAGACCACCAAGACCTATAGGTAAATGACCAGATAGTGAATTTCTACTTAAATCCAAGATTAACAGTTCCTTTAACATTCCAAAACTATCTGGGATTTCACCAGTAAACCTGTTTCCCGCCAGGACTAGTCGATTCAAGCTAGTTAAGTTGCCAATACTGGTTGGTATTTCTCCTGTTAAACCATTCTCTAGTAAGACCAAAGATTGGAGCTTTTTGAGGTAACCAAAACCAGTAGGAATTTGGCCTATGAGACCTGGATTGGACCGAAACTCTAATGACACCAAACTCCCAGCAAGTTTTTCCCAGTCATCGCCGGGGATGGTAACTGAATGTCTGCTAGGAGATATGAAACAACTGAAAAGGCTGAGAGATTTCAAGTGCTTAAGCTGGAAGAGTTGTGGCCTAAATTTCACATTAGTGGCACAAGCAAGAGAGTTGTCATGAACAGGACCAATGCTTAAAGTAGTAATATACCATAAGCCACCTATAATATCACAGGAGACACCCTGTAGAAAAGAAATAATCAAAGAGATTACCACTTAATCAAATAATTAATGTGAATCAAACAAGATGTGTATTATGTATTAAACTCAATCCTCATGGTCAATATTATTAAATACAAGCAAACATCAACCATACTACTTTTTCTCTGAAATATCCAACAGTGAGATAGTAAATGCAATTCCACCAAGGTTACTACTTAAAAACCGGAAGGTAAACCATACCTGTATAGGAGTCCAACCACAAGGATCCGGATAGAGATCTGAGCCGTTCCACCAATTACCAACAAACCCTTGTATGGCAGAGTACAAAGCAGCTTGCTCAGCCTTCTCCATGGGAGCTACTACTGCTGATTCTTCGGTATTGTCTGCTTGGCCACAGCACCAAACACCCAAGCATAAAATGCAAACTGCCAAAACGAAATGATTGCCACTGATAAGCATCCTCGTTGTTAGATAATTCAAGGCTAAAAAAGACGGGGAAAAAAACAAAGTGCAGCTTGGCTTAAACAACCCCAAACGTGGTCTTTGAAAACAACCGAGGAAAAGGAATGAAAATATATAATATTTGTCAAGAAAAGGTAAAGAAAAAGACAGGAGAAGAAGGGGAAGGGGAAAAAAAGGGAGTCGAAAGCCAGAAAGTGTTAGGGAATGTAAGTATGACACAGCTTCGAAAGCCAGAAAGTGTTTTTGAGAAAGCTTAGAATAGTATGGTAGAGTTTAAGAGTGAAAGATGCAAAAAGATGGTAAAGTGAGAAAGAAAAGGGAAATGGAGAGAGGTGAGCACAGTAAGGGAGTAGGAAGAATTTGGTTCTATGTGGGTAAATAGGAAAGCTAAGATAAGAATATAGCAGAAACAACACAAAGTTCTATATAAAGCACGGTTGTCCGAGCCAAGAAAGTAAGAGCAATAATAACAAGATTAAAGGCAGTAGAAAAAAATAGAAACTGGAGGGGATTTGGCATTGAATACTGAAAATCTGAAGCTGAAAGCGATAGGAAGAGTGACCCTTTGTGTGTTATTCTTATACGGCTCCACTTTGGTATATGCACTTTGCAGCTCCTTGTGAATCTTTCCACAAGACTACTTAGGGTTAAGTGCATTGTATGTACATACATACATGCACAATTACAACTAATAATTACTGATCATTGTTATTACCTTTTTCATTCAGTTAATGTAGTGCCGGAGATGGGACGTTTAAAGTTAGAGAGGGTGGTAGTTGAGGGATTTATAGGTGGAGATGACTGAGACCATATAGGTGTTAAGCTCGCAGGATCAGATAGGGAGATGGGTTTTGTTTTTTGCTTTATGTTGTTAGGGATTGGGAAGGAGGGGACCATTTTCCATTTTCCATATGTCCCTCTCAAGGGGAAAGGCAAAGGATCTGTAATGGTAAATGCGATGCAACAAGACAGTTGAGTTTTTATATCTGCTTTGCTTTTTCTGTTTTTCTTTTACTTTTGGGCGGGGTTTTTTTAAAACAGTACTTTTTCTGTTGCTGCTGAGACTCAGACGTTCAGAATGAGAGAAGGATGTGATGCAATTGCGAGGACAAAACAGCATTTGACTCGGTTGTTAAACTTGGGATACATGGCAAATATCAACCAAATATGTACGTGTGTGGCTAAGTTTGCTATAATTACATCTTAGTTTTATTATTATACCAACTTTCTTGATTAAAATGAAATTTTGGGATATTAAAGCAAGCAGGAAATCGAACTTACTTTCAAATTTATTGTGGAATATTTAATCCTCAAACTGGTTCATTGAATTTCTTTGCATGAGAACGACTCACTCGAGAGTAAGAGAGACATGTTCATATATTAAAATATTGAATGGCATGTCATAATCATACTTTGACTTGACCTCCACTCCATGCTAGCAGCGCTCGGGCAATGTAATCGATGAAATTAATCTTTTTTAGACCACTAAACGAATATCATTCCCTTGGAATTTGACTAAGGTACCTTGAAAAGGCACATATGCATCCAACTCTAACTAATCAATCAAACAAACATGCATCCACAGTCTTGCATTGCAATCCAACATAATTTCCAGCAACGGTGTAGAAGGCAAAATTCGGCTCTGCAGTAATTTTGCACATGGGATAATGATAAAAATGAGGCAAAACTTACTTTCAACTAAAGAATTTAGTGTACAAAATGAACTAGAAATTAATTATTGTTGCCACTTGCACATGATACTTTCCTATCGGGAAATCCAAACAGGAAACATTCTTGCATAAGCCACACAAAAGATAAAATGCAAAGCTCAGAAGCTAAAGCACATTCTGGTTACCTTATTGTGTCAAGGTCTAGCATACAATCGAGTAATCCGTCTCCAGTCTCCAAAGAAGAAAAAACAAGACAAAATACGAGCCTTCATGAGGTAAAAAATGTCCAGATTTTCTTTCCAATTGAGACATCACCTGGATGTTCTATCTCATCATCATCCTCATACTCTTCATCATCCTCGTTGATTTTGTCCCCACTCTCGTCTTCATCACCATTTTCAGCTGTAACATTTACTTTCTCAATCAAATCCACATTCTCAACCGACTTTGCTGCTGTGTCGTTATCGACATCTACACTTGTTTTGATCTGCATAATAAGGTTTGAGGTAGTGTAAAAAGAAGACTGACGATGGAAATCATATCATCCCAACACAAATGGTTTAGGATTTACCTTAATTGCCTTGCTTTCTAAAATCTCCACACGTTTCAATGCCGTGACCTGCGCTAAATTAGATCTTCTGTTCCCAGTATCCACTTCTCCCTCCAACGAACCATCATCAGGCTCCTTCCTATTTCTTCTGTTCTCAGTATCCGCTTCTCCCTCCAACCCACCTTCATCGGGCTCCTTCCTAGTCTTTGAGACATCAGATGAGGCTTGTGCTGCTATGGCTGTGGCTGTGACTGTGACTGTACTGTAAAAATATTTATAAAATTTTAGAAAAAACCAGGTTAAATAGAAAAATGGTTTCCTCCACAAAAGAAACTTTCTATTTTACACAATTAAATGGAATAATGGACAACAATATCCTCCAGAAAGATCCTTTCTATGGAACATAATTAAATATGCATAAACGGTTCCCTTATATGCAATTAGGCATTCAAGTATTGTAAACATTCACCAACACCTGAAAACACAGATCATAACATTCAATGTAACGAATAAAAAATCAGACTTGAAAATTTCAGTAACCTTCTATGTTGTGGAGGATTTTTGTTGTCTTTCATATTTATCTTGGCATGTACCATTGTATTCAAATCTGAACAATATAATCGCGCTTGCACCATAATTCAACACAGACAAGTATGAAATGACCTCCAAACTTAAGCATAAGTTGTCATTTAAACAGTAATTAACAAGATCGGGAACATCCCTTTTTGAAAATTTTAAGCAATAAGAATGTCAAAAAACATACGACCAAAAAGTTTTTTTCTTTTTACCACTTTTAATCCATTAATTCCACGTCCAACACTATTATATGCAGCTAAATAGTATGACTGAATCCCGAAACTTCAATCGTTTTATTTGAATCCTAAACAATGTACTGATATATAGTTCTTTAGAGAGGACCGGAAAGTGCTGATGTGAGAATTAACTCAATTTATCCATAGTTATATATTTATAACATGTAATAAATTATGGTATACTATTATATAATATCATATACTATATTTAAATTTCACCATTTTCCCCTCAAAAACAAAAGAAATAAGCTCAGCAAATCAATTTAACAACTAATGCTTGTCAAGAGACACTTTTCATTCCAAACATATATTTTCCAATCCAAGAAAGGAGAGTGGTAGCCGAACCATCTGATCTGCAGAAGAGCCTCAAAAGGGCTGATAAACCCATTTTTATTTCAATATTAACAGCCAATCCAGTTACAGGCTCGGCAGAAGCAAGTTTAACACTCAAAGCCAGACATAGAACTTAAAAAAACTCAGAATAAAATTCTTTTAAAAGAGAATTCTATAAAACGACAAATCAGCATTTCTTCCATTTCAATTAATTAAACGGGAAAATTATGAGAATCTAATCAAAGAATCTCACAACATTAAAAGCAACATTGTATGACATATTCCTAGAAGTCATTGAGAATAATACATATACAATAAAATGGAACTTACCCCTGGATCGCCTGAAATTGTATCGGTTTTCTCCTGGGGTTGGGAGGCCGGGAGCAACTGTTTGTTGCCTCTTCCTTCTCCCACCAGCCGTGACACTCTCAGAGTGTCCTTCACTATCTGCGGCATTCAGCTCACTAACTTTCGAATTTTGTGGGAGTTGCCGCTTTCTTGCATTGCTGCGTGCTCTTGCTCCCTTGGCAGTATGGCTAGAAACACCAGCACTTTCTTCACTGATATGGCTGGTTTCATGTGGCTGCACCCTCGTACTAGGCTCAGGCCCTTCAGGGAATTTGCCGAGGAATAGTTTTGCATCTTCAACTACAGCCTTCACAGAGCGTGTTCGACCCAGTCCAGATTTAGGTTTCCTTCTAGGTTTGCGGTGATTGCGGTGATCACTCTTCTGCTCTGACTGCAGAGAATCTTCAGGAATTTCTTGCACCTTACTCTCACTAAAGCTCTGATCAGCAGATGGGACAGATTCATCACCCAGCTCTCTCGCCGTATTAGGTTGGAGCAATTGGTTATGGATGGAGTCACCTGGAATCCCTAAACACAGCTCTCCTGGCTCTTCTTGAATACCAGCTCCTGCTTCTGCAGCGGTAAGCATACTAGGCCCATCATCTTTACTTTCATTTCTCTTAGTCGGTGAAATGTTAAAAATCTTAGTGCATTTGCGAAGCCAGGATATGCGCCCGGCAGATTCGGGATATGCCGCATCCACTTCAGGAGATCTCTTGATATTTGTAACACCAGAACCACCTTGATGACAGCTTAAGGTTTCATCAGCTAGTCGAGGAAGAGGGATTTCCCTATCCTGCAAATCAGGAATTTGGAAGTTAGAGAGTACAAAGTCCCTAGTAACTTCTCCGCAGTTCTTGCATGACTTGTACTTCTCAACAAATTCAGGAAGCTATGTCTTTCACGGATAAACAATTGCCGCTGGTCTTTGAGTCTGCTGCTAAGGATACCAAGTTGATCAATATCCTTCTGCATTTCTAGCTGCTGCTCTTTCAGTTTATCCCTGTTAACTACAACTTCATTTTTTTCCCTTTCCACAGCACGCCTCGCAGACTTTAGTTCTTCCCCTTCCCTCCCAGCATCTTCTTTTGAGCATCTCAAACTAGCAAGTTCTCTCTCCTTCACCTCCTCAAATGTGTCAATCCTTTCTTGCAGATCTTCTGCATTTGATCAAATCTATTCTGCATATCAGTTTCAAGATTCATTTTCTGCACCTCAAAATCTTGAAGCATTTTAATTCGCTCATTCTGAGCTTCTTCAAGTAAAATTGATTTTCATGCTTCATTGTGGCTTCAAGGATTCTTTCCGCAGCCTGACTGATTCCATTTCCCTAGAATATAATCTGCATAGCGGATTCTTCTTTCTTCAATCTTTCTTCCTCTGAATGTTTGCAAATTTACAAACTTTTCCTTGTCTTTGTCAATTTGCTTTTGCAGCATAATGATTTCAGCTCTTTTTTCATCCAAAACATCCCACTGTTTCTCAAATTTTCCATTTGCTGTTTGAGGTCTTCATGTTCCTTCAAAAGTAACTCCTCCTGACATCTGCAGTTGACTATCTGCAGCTTCAATTCAGACTGCAGTCGGATATGTTCAGCCCTCTCCTGTTCAGTAATCTTAAGCTTTAAAGACTCTTCTCGAATTCGTAACTCTTGTTGACTAGTTTCAGAACCTATCTTATCAATCTCATCTTTGAGGGCCTGTAAGTTCTCTCTAGTAGTATACAGCTTTTGCTTTCCAACTGCAACCTTTTCTCCTCAGTTTTCACAAATTTCTCTTTGTCCTTGACTGTTTTCAACCTCGCCTCAAGGTCCTTGTCTTTCTCCTTCATTCTCTTCAACTTCTTATCCAGT